TTAATGGCTTATAAACCAAATGAGTACATGTATGTGTAAAGCACAATAAATAATTTAAATACAAAAAGCACAACAAAACAAAAAAACAAGTATTTTTATTTGGAAAACGTTGTCATTCTGCTCACTGAAAAGGTCAGCGACGCATCACCGTTACCTTGGTGACTCAGCACCAGTATATTTCAACAAACTTTGAAGAGAGAACACTAGAAAGGTAGAAATGATTTTTTTTCTTTCCCAAACTAACACTGATGAACCTCCACCCCCGTGCTGGAAAATTGTGTGAAATCCAGAAATCCAACATGTGTCCAGTGAGTCACAATCCAAGTTATCCTCCGTGGTCAGACGTGAGTCCTGCAACGTTACGTGAGAGTCATTTGTCAGAAAGTCGAGCTGTGATTGCCCCCGGTCTTTGAAAGTTTTTGGCTACTCAAGCTTGCGGAAGGGGTGGTCGAGTCACAAGTGGGGACTTCCGGCTGCCGGATTGCCTCATCCAGTTCGTTGATGAAGTGTTTGAGGTCCTCCAGACAACGTTCGCGGATCTCCCCGAGGTTCTCCCTGAGCGGGACTTGGAGCTGCTTCTCCAGATCTGGATCTTTAGCAACCAGCATCTTCACCACCGTACCGAAGGTTTCACAGTCCTGGCGGTACACCTGAGAGTGGACAGGGCAACAAAAAAAAACCAAAAAAAAACAAAACAAAAAAACAACAACAACAAAACAAAAAAAATGCTTTGTTTTCAGTGGTACATCCATCACATGACTGTTTACAAATCAGGCTGACGATGAATAAATGATGCCGTCTTGAGTTGAGAAAAGGAGCTTTGCCCCTGTGCTGTCCTTGTGGTGTGAACGCAATTCGTTTTAATTGTCCTTGGTTGAACATGCTGGTGTCAACTGGGGGGGGTTTACGCATCTTCTCAAGTTCCATAAAGGCAGCTTAAATCGCCGATGGCAGGGGACGAAGCAATAAAAGGACTTGCAGCTCAGGAGGAGTGAGAAGAACAAGGACTTGGGAAGGGAAGACAACATCCAGCACGTCGCGGCGGCTCTTTACTCTTCTAATGAAACAACACGTTTGCCCGTTCCGACAAAGCCGCCGCTTCGAGTTGTTTACGGTCCTGCGGGGACGTCCAAACTACGTCCGTCGGCGCCGCCTCAATCAAATCAAAGGCCGCCGATTGGTCCAGACGACGCAAATCGTTGCAGGAAATTGTGTCGATGCCAAACAAACACTCGCTTCCTTTGGTCATTTTCAACTAATTGGGAGTCGATGCCCCGCTGTGACGTGAATGACCGAATTAGCGTCTCTCAGGAAATATCCAATCAAGTACATGAAACAACCACTTTAATGGATAGAGAGGAAAAATAATAATTGTAACCGTCTCTGAAACAATGTGGTAGGAATATACTTCCTGGATTATAAATGACTTCCCCTCTCATCCAAACGACTTCCTCTCTTATCCAAACAGGAAGGAAAAGAATCGTGATTAACTCTGGGTGGGGCGAACAAGTTGAACCCCCCCACCCCAAACTCCTTTGCAAAAACTATGGTGATTGCAGGCAGGCTGTTAAACTGGAGCAGAGGCGCACGTGAGCGGTCAACGTGTGCCTGCCTGCCTGCCCGCCCGGTTTGGGACAGCCAGTAAGCGGGAAAAAAAAATAATTTAAAAAAAGCTACCAAATGGGGGGCCTCAGTCAAGCGCTGCCACCTTTGAAGCCCAAACAAAAGAGCCTGAAATGCCTGTACTTTGGCCGAGTTGTCAAATATATTTAGATTCCTCAACAAACGAAATGAAATACCCTTTGTGCCACAGCCTGGAATGCGAAGAGTAAAAAGCGATCGAGTTTATTGCCTTTCAAGCCTGGTCGCTCACGAGAACCAGCTAGTTTGTACCGCAGCCAAAGTCAACTCGGACAACGAGAAACAGCTCAGGTTTGAATTTCAGAGGAGCAATTTTAGCGAGCTCCGTAAACACACACACACAGCGGCACACGGCCAGGCACGATGTTGGCGTGATGAGGGAAAAGTCCGTTTCCGATCTGTTTTTTTGCACTTTTGCAGGAGCAACGGGCCCTCCCTCAAGATGGCGAGACCATGTTGGATGCAGAAAGCCAAACAAACAAACATGTAAAGTGAGCGATAGAACCATGAATCAAAATGTTTCATAAGTGGGGCGGG